GGGATGTCATATTGCAATGTGCCACTTCCCATGATAAGAACCAAGTTCTGTCCACAACCAGAGGTAAAACCCCTCTTACATTTGAAACAGCCCAGTTGTCATTCTACCAGGACTTAACCCGAGCCACATTGCAATGGCGCAAGTCGTTGATCAATCTCACAAGTCACTTACGCACATTAGGAGTACCTTACCGCTGGGGACCACAAAGATCCCTGCTACTCCCCCACAACGACATCACCCACAAGATAACGTCAGACACTGAGGTAACCGCACTTCTAGCGAAACTGGGACTGCCAGACATGCATACCAACTTACCCCAAGAGCCACAGCACAAGGTTTGGGACCCAGCCAACAGCGCACCATTCACCCCACGAATGCTGGCCCCCACCATCTCAAAGACCTGAACGGAAGAGGAAAATCTACAACCTGAGCTGCCCAAGATAACGGGCCGAAGTTGACAGTAGCCAGCAACAGTGCATTTGCACTCCTTTAATACACCTGTTATGACCGTTAAACTTACTGTTGGAACTTATTGTTTGAACTCACAGTTCGGCCTCCCCACCTCCTTAGCTCAACGTACACACACCGAGACGCCACGACTACACTCCCCCACTGCCCCGTAGGTTAGGTGTAATACAAAGACAGAAAAGCTACTACGTATACTAAAGCTACTCCGGATATAAAACACTACTCAATCAGGGTTTCACCTGCTTTTCTAACATACCATGCAACAGACATCAGTCCTGTTCTCTCTCACGCTAGCACACCTAGTCTGAACCTAGGTATACATGGACTAGGCATGCTCCTATACCACATCCTGTAAACACTACACTATGCCTACCAATTTTGTTTTAAAACATAAAAATTGTGAAGATCCTCTATTTGCCATGTCTGAAAATCTATGTAAATGTTGAGCCGGCGATTGCTGTTGTGGCAACCTAGGCGTGTTGTTGAAACTTGCACACAAAAATAAAGAATAAAAAAAAAAAAAAAAAAGAAAAAAGGAGGACATCCAATCACAGATAGAAGAGAGACAATTGGTGGCACGTTGTAGTACAGCAGTGGAGAGGTCAGGGGGGGAGAGGTATATTGGCGTACAGGTGGTAGTGGAATCCATATGAATTAATGAGTTTGCCAAGAGAGGCAGTATAGAGAGAGAACAAAAGGGGACCTAGAACTGTCGCAAGGTACGGTCACTGTGTGGTTGCGAAAGGGAGGAGCAAAGGTTGAAGAATTATTTTCTTAACTGTTCAATCATCTTGGTAAAGTAGCATGCAAGGTTATCAGATGAGGGATTAAGGTTTCCCGGATTCCTTAGGCTCCGGGAGGGCCTATAGGTTGGGTTGGAGTAGGTCTAGCACGACCGTGCATTTAATTGAAAGAAGTAAGATAAGCAGTATATAACCCTCATGAAGCAGGTCCCTCATTTCAAGTCTAAATGAGGGGCCACAACTGTGTTATATTGGGTTGCCCTTTAAGGGCCTTGTGAAGCGAATGTAGTGAAGGTCATGTAAGAACCATGTTTAAAGGTATTGAATGAATCAAGATCTGGACAGTATTCAGGACACTCAATTGTTTGCAACATGTGAGTATATTTAAGCTGTGTCCTATGTAGGTGATGATGATCCAACCTAATAGATACTGATGAATCATAGTGTTTGACATAGGGTAGGGATAACGTATGTGATGAAGGATACAAGTTCCCCAGGAGGATGACCTAGTGAAAGCCGTATAGTAAGATATGATTAGTTTATTGATATCGTGTAGTGTGGTGGGGTAGTATGCAATCCTTGTAAGTGAATGTTATGCAAATGAAAAGCACAATGAAGGGTTGAAATAGGAACATAGTATGTAGCCCACTGAGGGTTCCGTAAAACAGATGTTGCAAAGTCCCATTGAGGGCCATTTGCAAGGACTATGTATGTGAGGCCCAATATATGTCCTAAGGTGCAGGCTGGCCACGTGGGGCTGTGATAAAATAATGGAGGGGGTGATTGGTAGATCATATTTAGGTTGTAGAGTTGTGGAGAAGTAGCGATTACAGGAAATATGATGGTAATGAGACAATAGAGAAACCTATGGTGTGAATACTAACAACAACAACAATAATAATAATAGTGTCTAGCTTGTGAAATAGTTAACATAGAGACCGTACGAAATACACATGTTAAAAGTTATACAATACATACTTACTGAGCCTGTTGAATGGAGGGTATAAAAGAGAATTTACGACAGGTTTAGACCACGAGAATGCAATAGTGCTGAACTGGTTTGAGGCCGTGATGGCTGTACGCTAAACTTAGGAGGAGACCCATTATTAGTGGGATAAATGCCATCACTGCACATATGTCCGAATTTATAGATCACTATCTGAAAAAATATGCACAAGAAGCACCCTCATATCTTCTCACATTATTTTAACTATGGGAAATATAAGATGGGAGAAAGATTTTATATTGGTTACCATATGCGTCACTTCATTATATACTGTGATTAAACACAATATGGGTGTGGCAGCAGTGAAGAAAATCATCAATATCAAGCAATTTAAAGGGACACTATAGTCACCAGTGCAACTACATGTATTCCTGACCCTATAGTGTTAACACCACCATCTAGCCCCCCTGGGCCCCTCATGCCTCCATAAATATAGTAAAACTCTTACTGTATTCAAGCCAGAAGCTGTAACTCTGCATGCTGTTTGCCTAAAAAAAAAAAAAAAGTCTGCTGACATCATCAGAGGTGGTAGCCTGATCCAATCACAGTGCTTCCTCATAGGATTGGCTGAGACTAACAAAGAGTCAGATCAGGGGCAGAGCCAGCATGATTCAAACACAGCCCTGGTCAATCAGCATCTCCTCATAGAGATGAATTGAATCAATGAATCTCTATGAGGAAAGTTCAGTGTCTGCATGCAGTGGGAGTGTCTGCATGCTGCCCTGTGCTCTGCTGACAGCAGATCTGGGTGGATTGAGGAGTTTTTTGCCTCAATCAACTCGGAAGTCCCTCTGGTGGCATTCTGAGTGACTGCAACTGTAGGTGTTCCTAGCTTTCAATGTAAACACTGTATTTTCTCAGGGAGCTATAGCTCTCACCTGAACAACCTCATTAAGCTTAAGTTGTTCAGGTTGTCCCTTTAAGAAATTTCTTGATTGACAACATGATTTTTATTTTACACCACAACTATTTTATATTTAACGTTACTTTTTATTTGCAACAAACAGGAATTGACATGGGAACCAGGTTTGCCCCCCAGCTATACCAAAATATACATAAGAGACTGGTAGGCCAACTCTTTATGGAGGGGGCATAGCTGGGTAGCAAACCTGGTCCTGTGGAGACGCTTTATAGATGACATTCTTTTAATTTGGAAGGGTTCTCTAAGTGAGTTAGCTAAATTTTTTGATTATGTTTGACAAGGTTGCCCCAGAAGGGCCCAACAGGAGATATGAACCTGGGTACTTTGTGGTTCTAAGCCTGTGTTCCTGTGATGGAATTCCAGTAAAATAAAAGTTTAGCAGGCCAAGACTGCCACAAGGCATATGTAGGTACATGTGTTTGTAGTATCAGTTAGTTAGTTACACGTAGCTAAGATACTGTCATCACTGTACTGAGCATGTGCAGGAATGCAGGAACTGGAATTACGCGTCCCTCTCCTTTGTTTCAGATGAGCCACGTGGTTAGACCGGATGGATGAGTTTAGACTCTATTCATTGATTAGGTTAAGGGTATGTGTGGGTGTAGCTAATTATGGGAGGAGCTACACTGCTATATAAGGAATGTACTCTATGTATTCAGTGCTCAGATCTTTGCTGTTTTTGGTGACATAAGTCCCTCTGAGTCACGGTCGGTGAATCGAATAAAGATCTCTTCCTTCCTGAAGAAACCTGTGTCCATCTCTCTGTGCTTGGCCTCCGTCAGTTTCCCGGTAACATCTTTGGTGCATTGGCTGGGAAGCTCGTCGTTAACGGTGGCTAGGAAGCAGAGGCGTGAGACGGTCTATCTTTGCCCACGTTCTCTACGGCTGCACCCCTGAACTTCTGCGTGGACCTCCCTTCGTCTCGGCGCCACTGGTCTGTTGTCCAGGAGATCATCGGCCTCTACGTAGTAAGTACTGGGGTGTCCCTGTCAATGAGTGTGAACTCAGGTTCAGGAACGAGGCGGTAAGACGACTACTGTTTTAGACGGTGGACCCACTAGGGGTATTGGATACTGATTGTGCGGTAGGCCCATAAGGGGTTTGAATTGGAATTGTGTATGGAATTGGCCCCCTCCAGGGAGGGAAGGAGCGAAGGCGTACCGCTCATAATTAGACGCCCTGTAGTCAGCCTGTCTAATCTTGGTATGGAGTCAGGCTGGGTCTTGGTTGAATGTATATAGCCCAAGCCGGACACCAGTGTCTTGTCTAGACTAGCGTATCTAGGGTGTACATTTCGTTCGCTAGGTCGGAGGGACCGGGAGACTAAGCAGACTCTGGTGTACATTATCGTTTGCTAGTTCTCAACCTATCTTGGCTAAGTGGGAAGGCGTGTAAATTTGGAACCCACTAGACTATTGATAGAGTAGATAGACTAAAAGGGTATTGTTGTAAATTCCGCCCTCTAGTTTGCTATATGTGGTGCTTGGGCAGCGACGGCTAACCAAAACGGATGTAAATAGTTTTAGGTAGTCCCTCGAGGTACTGTCCAATAGATTAGTTAGGAAACTGTAAATGTGTTAAAATTTATTATAGTAGAGTGTATATCTTGCTGGGTAGCGTGAGCTCTGCCGTCTAGCTAGAGTGTGAATAGTGTGTAACTGTATCATAGCGCACGGTACCATAACCATGTATTATAATCACTGATACTGTAAATAATCACTAATAACTTTCGTTTATGTTGTATGTTTAACACCATAACTACTACTAACTGACCTGTGACTTTAAAATTGTATTCTAACCAATGCTAACCGTACTATAACTACTGTTTGTAAAGACGATGTTACTAGGGTATGTTATAGACGGGTAATTTAAATACTGAGAATTATAGTGTGGGTAATTGTATAATTTCGCCAAAAAAGGTACAGTAATAGTTATTTAGTGTGTGGTGTAACAGCTGTGTGTGTACGGGAATTCCCTGTATGATTTGTTGTGTGCGTTTGGCCTAGTAACTGTGCCACGTGGTGCTGTTGCCAAGGGAAACGGGTGTGACTGTTGGAAGTGTGTTTTGTTTCTATTGGAGACGACGCTCCATTGTTAAGTATGGGTGCGTTGGATTCAAAGATCATTGATCCCTTAGATTGCATGTTAAAGAATTTTAAAAAGGGATATAATGTATGTGATTTTGGGGTAAAGATGTCTCCAACACGTTTGACTACTTTATGTAGCAGGGAATGGCCTGCCTTAGTGGTTGCATGGCCTCCACGTGGTAGTCTTGATCCTAATCTAGTGCAGCGTGTACACGTAGCTGTATCTGGTAGGCCGGAACTTTACGACCTGTTTCCATATATTGATTGTTGGAAACAGGTCGTGGATGACTTGCCAAAATGGATCAGGGTGTGCCAAGAGGAGCAATGCCGCCTCCTGTTGGCCAGAACTCGTTTGTCCACCAAGGCCGTGATCACGCCCATTCTGGACACGCCCCCTGAGTCAGAGATTCCTTTACCGCCCCCTTACTCCTCCTCTACAGGAAGAGGAAGAGGAGGTGCGGCTCCATTGTCTCCTCCTACCCCATCCTCTAGCTCAGAGCCCAGCCCACTTGTTCTAAACGCTCCTCTTCTGGTACCTACCCCCACTAACTCCACCTATCCGGATTTGACATCATTTCTGGTTCCTGGTCAGGCTCCTCCCAGCCCGGCTCGGAATATTCTGCTTACCAACCTCCCCTTCAGTAAAGAAAAAGTGTCCCCCTCCCCTCGTCTTACTACCCCTCGACCGGAACCCATAACTGACCTTCCTCAACGAAGCCCCATACTAACCCGACAATTGACCGGTACCCTTCAACCCGACATTATCAAATGCCTCTCCGATTGACACCGGGCCCGACACACATTAATGGTGAAGGCCAGTTACAACATGCCGACCCCGTATTTGTTTATGTTCCCTTTACCACTATGGATTTGTTCAACTGGAAAACCCATAACTCCTCTTACACAGACAAACCTCAAGCCATGACAGATTTGATTACCTCCATAATCCAAACGCACAATCCCACTTGGGCTGATTGCCAGCAATTGCTTATGACATTGTTTAATAACGAGGAAAGGACTCGGATTAATCAGGCGGCAATTAAAGAGCTTGAAGAAGTGGCCTGTGCACAGAATCAGGCCAACCCGGTAGCATGGGCCGCAGCTCATTACCCAAACGTAGATCCGAATTGGAATGTTAATGGTGTCGATATGGCTCACCTAAAAGCTTATAGGGAAGCCATTATTACAGCCATGAAAGCCGGAGGGAAAAAGGCGATCAATATGTCAAAGACGGCTGAGGTATTGCAGAAATGTGATGAGTCGCCTAGTGCCTTTTATGACCGATTATTGGAGGCATACCGATTGTATACCCCCTTTAGTCCAGAGGCTCCTGAGAATTCCCGGATGGTTAACTCTGCCTTTGTCAGCCAGGCTTACGGAGATATTAAAAGAAAATTGCAAAAGCTAGAAGGGTTTGTAGGGATGTCTATAACTCAACTAATGGAAATAGCAAATAAGGTTTATATGAATAGGGAGACAGAGACGAAGAAGGAAGAAGAGCGTAAGATGAGAAGGAAGGCAGATATGTTAGCGGTAGCTATCGCTGGTGTAGATAGAAGGGAAAAGGAAGTGTACAGGGGAACCGAGAAAAGCGAGAATAAGTGGAATAGGGAGCCTTTAAGTAGGAACCAATGCGCATATTGTAGGGAAGAAGGGCATTGGAGGAGTGAGTGTCCATTGAGAGAACAACATGAGAGAGATAGAACAAGGGGAGGATATAGTAATAACTACAGAGGTAGAGTGAGAGGAAGAGGAGGCCCTGGAGGAAATGGTAGGAATAGTAGAGGAAGCGTTCAAGGGGATAGGTATTACCCAGCAGCGCAGAGACCGCGAGAAAGAGAAGATAGGGACTTTGTGGGTTTGGCTGACACTGTCATGGAGGACTATTGATACCGACCGGGCTCCATCCCCCTTGGTCGAGCGGAGCCTATGGTCGATGTAGCAATAGGGGGAAAAAGGAGTTCTTTCATGATCGACACTGGTGCTGAACATTCTGTGGTAACCGACCTAGTTGCTCCTCCTTCAGGAAGAACTATCACTGTAATAGGAGCAACTGGGAGGAGTGCTGCTAAACCGGTTCTCAAAAGTCGACTCTGTACACTGGGAGGCCACGTAGTGAAACATCAGTTCCTTTACATGCCTGAATGTCGAGTCCAACTTCTAGGACGGGATTTGTTGTCGAAGTTACAAGCACAGATAACATTTCTGCCTAACGGAACGACATCCTTGAAGTTTAATGGACCCTCAGGTATAATGACACTATCAGTACCAAAGGAAGAAGAGTGGCGACTTTATACAGTGATGACAAGTCAAAACCCTAAGAGTGATGAATCCTTGTATAATATACCAGGAGTGTGGGCAGAAAATAACCCACCAGGACTTGCTCGCAATATCCCACCTATACGCATCGAACTAAAGCTTGGGGTTTATCCAGTAAGCCTGCGACAATACCATATACCTCAAAAGGCGAAGAAGAACATACAGTCTTATTTGGATAAGTTCATAAGGTATGGTATCCTAAAATTCTGTACTTCCCCCTGGAATACTCCATTGTTGCCTGTTCAGAAGCCTGGGTCAGATGAGTATCGTCCTGTGCAGGATTTGAGAGCAGTCAATGATGCGGTAGGAAGTATACATCCAGTTGTGCCCAATCCTTATAACCTGCTTGCCTTGATTCCGGGTGGGGCTACTTACTTTACAGTCTTTGACCTTAAAGATGCCTTCTTTTGCCTACAAATTGCTACAGAAAGCCAGTGTATCTTTGCATTCCAATGGGAAGATGCTGTAACGGGCTCGAAACGTCAGATGACCTGGACAAGATTGCCCCAAGGGTTTAAAAATTCACCTACCCTATTTGGATAAGCATTAAGTCAGGACTTATTAGATTTCAAGTCCATCCCAGGAGAATGTGTACTACTACAATACGTGGATGATTTGTTGATAGCGGCAGTTACTAAAGAGATATGCCAGCAAGCAACTTATGATTTACTGCACATTCTTTGGAAGGCAGGATACAAGGTGTCCAGGAAGAAAGCTCAGTTGTGTCAGCCAACTGTCAAGTATCTGGGATTCCATATCTCTGAATGTCAAAGGATAATGGGGCCTGAAAGAAAAGAGGCTGTATGCCAAATACCAACACCTAAGAATAGAAGACAAGTGCGAGAATTCTTAGGGGCAGCAGGCTTCTGTAGGATATGGATTCCCAGTTATGCGATACTGGCGAAACCCCTCTATGCCGCTATTAAAGGCACGGAACATGATTCCTTCCTGTGGACCATCGAACAGCAGAAGGCATTTGAGGATGTTAAGAAGGCATTGATGAGCGCCCCCGCATTAGGTCTACCTGATCATACACGTCCATTCTACTTATATGTACACGAGCAAAGAAGGATGGCTGTGGGAGTACTGACAGTATCTGGGATCATGGCAACGACCTGTTGCGTATATGTCCAAACAACTGGATGCAGTAGCCAGTGGTCTTCCTCCTTGTCTAAGGGCCGTAGCTGCCGCCGCCCTGTTGGTAGCAGAAGCTGACAAGCTCACTCTGGGTCAGGAACTCTATGTGCAAGTCCCGCACGCAGTACAGACGTTGCTAGACTATAAAGGTAATTATTGGTTTAGCAATAGCCGCATGACTAAGTATCAAGCCATGCTATGCGAGAACCCGAGAGTGCATCTTGAGACTGTTAATACCTTGAACCCAGCTACCCTCCTGCCGCAACCTACTGAGAGTCGACATGATTGCCTGGAGGTAATGGATGAAGTGTTCTCAAGTAGACCGAACCTTCATGATTTTCCCATCCAGAACTCCGATGTTCAGTCTTACACGGACGGCAGTAGTTACGTGAAAGAAGGGATTCGCTATGCCGGATATGCAGTGACAACTATAGACAAGGTGATAGAAGCGCGGCCATTGTCAAAAGGAACATCAGCACAGAAGGCAGAATTAATCGCACTTACATGGGCTTTGCAATTGGCTGAAGGGTTGAAAGTAAATATCTACACAGACTCAAAGTACGCGTTTTTAACCACTCATGCCCATGGAGCTTTGTATAAAGAGAGAGGATTACTGACCTCAGAAGGAAAAGAAATCAAGTACGCAGCTGAGATATTACAACTATTGGAAGCTGTATGGGAGACGAAGGAAGTTGGTATCATACATTGTCGAGCACATCTGAAAGGTGATGGTGATGTGGTGAAAGGAAATCGGATGGCAGATAGTGCAGCTAAGCGTGCCGCTGAATCCGGACAAAAAGAATATGTATAATATCTTATACCGACCCCTCTGTCCCAGTGGACTCCAGTTTATACAGCTCAAGAAGTGGAGTGGTTAAAGACTGAAGCTGGGAAATATTTGGAGAATAATTGGTATCAGTTAGAAGATGGAAGAATAGTTATTCCAGCATCGCTAGCTGTAGAAATTGTCCAGAATTATCATAATGGGACACATTCTGGAAGAGATAGTATGGAAGAATCTCTTAGGAAGCATTTCTACATACCAAGATTGTCCAACTTGACTCAAGCCATTGTTCGAAGATGCGTGTCATGTGCCAAGAACAACGCAAGGCAAGGTCCAGTGAAACCACCGGGAGTCCAGTACATGGGAGGGCTTCCTATGTCCGATCTCCAAATAGACTACACGGTAATGCCCAAATCTGGCGGACATCGTTACCTACTAGTAGCTGTGTGTACCTACTCAGGTATGGAAAGGGTATAATCCGAGTAGTTGGTTTGGTAGTTGGTATGAGCAGTTTGGAGGAATCAAGGCATTGGTAGGTGGAGTCATACTGATTTTGATGTTGTGTCTCCTTCTGCCATGTCTGATTCCTTTGGTAATTAGGTCTATGCAGAGCATTATAGAAAGTATAGTAGAAAGAAAGGCCGCAGCACAGGTAATGGCTGTTTGCAGGTATGAAGCTCTACATCAAGGAGAATACATGCAGGAAGAGGAATGTTGAGGGGTTCTTATCTTTAGAGGATCGCAAAGTCTAGTCTGGTTTATGGCAACTTGAGGTGTAAGCAAACTATGATTGGTGATGCATCTGGAATTATTTTAAATCAGAAGCATCAAAGGGGGGAATGTGATGGAATTCCAGTAAAATAAAAGTTTAGCAGGCCAAGATTGCCACAAGGCATATGTAGGTACATGTGTTTGTAGTATCAGTTAGTTAGTTACACGTAGCTAAGATACTGTCATCACTGTACTGAGCATGTGCAGGAATGCAGGAACTGGAATTACGCGTCCCTCTCCTTTGTTTCAGATGAGCCACATAGTTAGACCGGATGGATGAGTTTAGACTCTATTCATTGATTAGGTTAAATGTATGTGTGGGCGTAGCTAATTATGGGAGGAGCTACAGTGCTATATAAGGAATGTACTCTATGTATTCAGTGCTCAGATCTTTGCTGTTTTTGGTGACATAAGTCCCTCTGAGTCCCGGTTGGTGAATCGAATAAAGATCTCTTCCTTCCTGAAGAAACCTGTGTCCATCTCTCTGTGCTTGGCCTCCGTCAGTTTCCCGGTAACATTCCTTCCTCAGAGCCACTTCAGTTCTTGTTTTAGCCTGAAGCTTATCCTTGCCATGTCTCCAGCACTGGGGGCTGGACTTTACCTGTGACTGCTCTTATCAATCATGGTCCACCTGTAGCTTATCACTAATTCCCTGAGGGCAGTGTCAGTTTACTGACTCTGATTCACGTTTTTGGTTCCTGTTTCTGCGTATCCAGATTGTGTGTTCTCCAGTTTGTTCCTGGCTCCTGACCTTGGTTCTTTTCATCGTTTTCTCTGACCTCTGGCTTCCACCGACTTCAACTTTCCACGACTACTCTTCTGCTTGTCCTAGCCTGTACTGTTGTACTGCGACTTGGAGTATATCCCTGCACAGACTCACAGGCCAGGTGGCATCTGACCTGATCACCTTGGTCTGTGTTTATTTGCAAGGGTGAGAGTATATCTCCGCTTACATCAGGTAAGACCCTGACAATGTTAATATCAGTAATTACAGTTTAAAATTTACACCTATATTTAACACTGTGAGTATTATTTTTTGGACATCACCTTCTCTGTAGAAGGTCTGAATTTCCAATACAAATGTTACTTTAAGGAAATGGAAGGGAACAACTTTATACACAAAAAAAGCTGTCACCACAACAATTGCTTAGATTCTAAACAGAAAAGTCAACTAACCTGCATTAGAAGAAATTGTTCAAAGGATTTTGATAACCAGCATCAGGCAAAACATTTATGCAACCAATTGATATAAAAATATAAGAAAAAAGCATTTTAGAGAAAGAATCCCAGAAAACTGGGGATTTAAATAGGAAAGACTTTATAAGGAAAAAGAAGACAAGCAAAGAGCACAATAGGGACAGGGATGGACTGACAGCCTTCTGGGCCCCCGGCCAAAATTAGATCCAGGGCCCTTCGAAGACAAAATTTTAAAGGAGCACTATAGTGCCAGGAAAACAAACTCGTTTTTCTGGAACTATAGGGTCATTATGTCCCCCCCACCCTCAGGGCCCCCCTCCCGCTGGGCTCAAGGGGTTAACACCCCTTCAGCCACTTACCTTTCTCCTGCGCCGGGCTCCCTCGGCTCTGGGGAATTCTCCTCCCTCTGCTGACCTAAGATTCAAATGTGCATTCACGGCAAGAGCCACGCACGCATTCAAACCGCCCATAGGAAAGCATTACTAAATGCTTTCCTATGGACGTCCAGCTTGTCTTCTCACTGTGATTTTCACAGTGAGAATCGCGGAAGCGCCTCTAGCGGCTGTCAGTGAGACCGCCACTAGAAGCTGGATTAACCCTTAGTGAAACATAGCAGTTTCTCTGAAACTGCTATGTTTTCAGCTGCAGGGATAAAACTAGAGGGACCTGGCACCCAGATCACTTCATTGAGCTGAAGTGGTCTGGGTGCCTATAGTGGTCCTTTAAGGACTAAGTAAATGTTAAAAAGAATTTTAAAGTAAGTAGTCAAACCGTTTGAGAACAGTTTGACAACTTACCTGGGGTCTGCTGGGACATGAGGCTGTAGTAGGGCATAGGAGCAGTGGTGTGTGAGTGGTGCAGTGTGTGTGAAAGGTTCAGTGTGTGGTGGGGGTGTGTAGGGTGTGTGGGGCAATGTGTGTGTGTATGTGGGGCTATGTATGTGTGTGTGTGTGTTGGCAGTGTATGTGTGTGTGGGGCAATGTGTGTATGGGGGGGGCAGTGTGTGAATGTGTATGGTGTGGGGGCAGTGTATGTGTGTGTGGGGCAATGTGTGTATGGGGAGGGCAGTGTGTGGGGGCAATGTATGTATGTGTATGGTGTGTGTGGGGGCAGTGTATATGTGCACGGGCCGTGTGTGTGTATGTGTATGGTGTGTGTGAGGGCAGTGTATGTGTGTGGGGGGGCAGTGTATGTATGTGTGGGGCAATGTGTGTGTGTATATATGGGTGGGCAGTGTATGCAATGTATGTGTATATATGGGTGGGCAGTGCGTGTGTATATATATATATATATATATATATATATCTGGGTGGGCAGTGCATGCAGTGTATGTGTATATATATGGGTGGACAGTGTGTGTGTATATATATATATATATAGGTGGGCAGTGTGTGTATATATATGGGTAAGCAGTGTATGCAGTGTGTGTGTGTGTATATGGGTGGGCAGTGTGCATTGTGTGTGTATATATGGGTGGGCAGTGTATGCAGTGTGTGTGTGTGTGTGTGTGTGTATCTATGGGTGGGCAGTGTATGTGTATCTATGGGTGGGCAGTGTCTGCAGTGTGTGTGTATGTTTATGGGTTGAGCAGTGTATGCAGTTTGTGTGTGTATGGGTGGGCAGTGTGTGTGTGTGTATATATATATGGGTGGGCAGTGTATGCAGTGTGTGTGTGTGTGTATATATATGGGTGGGCAGTGTGTGTGTATATATGGTTGGGCAGTGTATGCAGCGTGTGTGTATGTATGGTTGGGCAGTTTATGTGTGTGTGTGTGTGTATGGTTGGGCAGTGTATGCTGTGTGTGTGTATGGGTGGGCAGTGTGTGTGTGTGTGTGTGTGTGTATATATGGGTGGGAAGTGTGTGTATATATATAGGTGGGCAGTGTATGCAGTGTGTGTATATGTGTGGGCAGTGTATGCAGTGTGTGTTTGTGTATCTATGGGTGGGCAGTGTATGCAGTCTGTGTGTATCTACAGAAACATAGAACATAGAAACATAGAATGTGACGGCAGATAAGAACCATTCGGCCCATCTAGTCTGCCCAATTTTCTAAATACTCTCATTAGTCCCTAGTCTTATCTTATAATTAGGATATTATGCCTATCCCATGCAATCCCTTTCCTCATATGTTGAGGTTAGGACTCTATCAAATATTCTGTACTCTGCCCTTGGCTTTTTACGTCCAAGATGCATTATCTGGCACTTATCCACATTAAATGTCAGTTGCCACAATTCTGACAATTTTTCTAGTTTACCTAAATCATTTGTCATTTGGCTTATCCCTCCTGGAACATCAACCCTGTTACATATCTTAGTATCATCAGCAAAAAGACATACCTTACCATCAAGACCTTCTGCAATATCACTAATAAAAATATTAAAGAGAATGGGTCCAAGTACAGATCCCTGAGGTACCCCACTGGTGACATGTCCAAGCTTCGAATATATTCCATTAACTACAACCCTCTGTTGCCTGTCACTCAGCCACTGCCTTACCCATTCAACAATATTTGAATTCAAACGTAAAGATTGCAGTTTATTGTTAAGCCTTCTATGTGCAACAGTGTCAAAAGCCTTACTGAAATCTAGGTAAGCAATGTCTACTGCACCACCCTGATCTATAATTTTAGTTACCCAATCAAAAAATAAATAAGATTAGTTTGGCATGATCTCCCTGAAGTAAACCCATGTTGTCTCTGATCTTGAAATCCATGTGTTTTTAGATGTTCATCAATCCTATCCTTTAACATGGTTTCCATCACTTTCCCCACTACTGAAGTAAGGTTTACTGGCCTATAGTTGCCCGACTCCTCCCTATTACCTTTCTTGTAAATGGGCACAACATTCGCTAACTTCCAATCTTCTGGGACTACTCCTGTTAACAATGATTGGTTAAATAAATCTGTTAATGGTTTTGCTAGTACACCACTAAGCTCTTTTAATAACTTTGGGTGTATTCCATCAGGTCCCATAGACTTATTTGTCTTTACTTTTGACAGTTGAAATATAACCGCTTCCTCTGTAAACTCACGTGTAATAAATGACTCATTTATCCTTTTTCTCAACTGAGGTCCCTTTCCTTCATTTTCATCTGTAAATACAGAACAAAAATATTAATTGAGGCAGTCAGCTAGACCTTTATCCTCTTCTACATACCTTTCTTTTTTTGTTTTTAATCTAACTAATCCTTGTTTTACTTTTCTTTTCTCATTTATGAATCTAAAAAATGTTTTATCTCCCTTTTTTATTGACTGTGCTATTTTCTCTTCTGTGTGTGATTTGGAAGCTCTTATAACTTGCTTAGCCTCTTTCTGCCTAATCTTATAGATCATTTTGTCTTCCTCACTCTGGGTTTTTTTATAATTCCTAAATGCTAACTTTTTGTTTTAACTATTTTGGCCACATCTGCGGAGTACCACAGTGGTTTCTTGAATTTTTTGCTTTTACTGACAAGCCTAATGCAATTTTCTGTTGCCTTCAATAGTGCAACTTTTAAATAATCCCATTTCTCTTGGACTCCATTTAAATTGCTCCAGTCTGATAATAACTCCTCTACCCATATTTATCTCCAAAAATACTGTGACAGATCCATCTGTATTACTGGTGTTGCTGGTTCGTCTAATTTGCCTCCCTTCACGGAATTGCCTGTCCGTATGCCCCTATTCGTTATTTTGGACTTATACCGAATAAAACTACCGAACGGACGGCCACCCAGAAGAGAAGTGTGCTGCTAGTTAACCTCTTGGCCCCAATTAGAATGTTGTGGTTAACCGCAGACACCTCTTCATTATAACCGAATGCAGGGTGGTCGTCGTTCGTATGCTGACCACGAGGCGGCGGCCATTTTAAAACACACGAATGACCAGCAGTGTTCGGAGCAGATTTTATGGAATTATAAACGGACACTTTTTCTACCAAACACCGCTGATGAGACTGCCCTTCTCATTCGTTGAGGCATGCGAACACCGGCCCGTTCGGGAGTTTGGATAATTCAAATGGACGTATGGGATCTGAGCGTTATTCGGTAGGAATATGCACTCAGATCCAGACTATCTGGGGATACGTTGCACGAATATAATATGTTCGGTATTTGTACAGTTACCTATTTTTATGCATTTTTAATGTTCCGTTTAAAATGGCGATTTGCCTCTATCCTTGGAGATAATTGGATTTCTTCCCAATTATCTCCAGGATAGAGAGGAAGGATTTACTGTATAAAGGGGAGTGTGTAAACCTGAGCCACTGTGATTGGCTAATGGATCCTACTTGTCCCAGTCTTCCATCTGGTCCCCTAGGAGAGTGTCCACCAGGTGGAAGACATGCATAAATACCGGGCAATGTAGCCCTCATTAAACAGACTCCTGTTTTACCCTCAAGACGGAGCTTGGTCTCGTATTTGGGGGGAATTGCTACTTGGAATGATTTCTTTCACCTGTTTTAGCCGAAGAAGGGATTCGGCTGATTTGTGTGTTCGTGGATTTACCGCGTTACCTTGAACTCTGTTCGGGAGTTTGGCAGTCTACTGTATAGAGTCTGTGTCTCTGGAAAGGGGGAACATCGGCTAAACGGCGGTTTCATCTATTTAAGCTGGCAGTGTCTTAGCAAATACTTTTTCTGCTGGGACTCTTTATTATTGCTATATCTCAATATTTTTACATATAATATTGTGTATACATATATATCCACATTTGCATTGTGCCCTTTACACGATTGTTATTTTATTAGATTGCACTTTGTCTTTCTTCTAATCTACATGAGACTAATAAAGCTCAAGATTTGGAGAAGATTTTCATCATAATCTGAAGGCTCTTGGTCTAATTTAAAACTGTGAGTGGCCAATTGGCTCTAATATTAGACCACTACTTTGTTGCAGTTTTGCACTATGTTGTACCATTTTCTCCCCTGATGATACATCTATTTCTATATATTGAAAAGCAAACAAAGCATATTTGCACAAACACATCAAACCAACTGTCAAGCATAGTGGTGGAGTGTTTATGATTTGGACTTGTTTTACAGCCACAGAATCTGGGAACCTTGTAGTCATTGAGCTGACCATGAACTCCTCTGTACATCAAAACATACTAGAGAAAGCATGTCATGCGGCCCACAAGGGATATCTTTGCGGCCCAGTGAGCAGCAAGTACATGCTTGGTGTTATAGCAGAGTAGGCACCTGCTTTTCCCACATTTCAGGTGCCTACTCTGCTAAAACTTACCCGGCCGGGGAGGAGGGCCAGCGAGGGAGCTCAGTGTTCCTGCTCCTCACTGCTCCCTTGCGCGCGCGGTCTGTAGTGAACCCATTACGTCATATTCCTGCACCCGGCATCACCAAACCACATGAGGGAGAAGTGGGGAGTAGATAGACTCCCACTGGACCCCAGGGAGAGGTCCCACATCGCCTCCAAAATGTAGGGAGTAATAAAGCAAAGTATGTGTGTGCAGAATGTGTAAGTGTGTGTGTCTGTCAGTGTCTGTGTGTGTCTGTCAGTGTGTGTGTGTTTATCAGTGAGTGTGTGTGTGTGTGTGGGTCAGTGTTGCATTGGCTGCGACTGGACAGTGGAGTACCTGGGGGTGCATGGAGGCACACAACGCCATGTCACATTCCGACGTGACATCAACGCGCTCCACCTTCACAGGGTTTCAAGAAGTAGCGGGAGGATC